AAAGGCATTTGGGTTAAAATCCAGTAAAAGCACTACATCCACAGAGCCAACACAGATCTCCTTATGGGGAACATAAGATGAGCAAAGCAACATGCACCTCACCAGAAAAAAAAAGAAAATCATTCAATTGGTGGCCTAAAAACTTGCTGCTCCCTTACATGTGGGCTTGGAATAAACTACGGGCTGAAATAATTTTCTCCTTGTACTACACAGAGCACTGCCTGCTCTGCTTTTTTCCTGTGGACAACCTTGTAGCACATTCCCTGCATACATCCAAGCAAGCCCCATCCTGGGAGTCAGTGCAGGTGACTAACACCACACAGAGGAGTTTTGGCACTTAATTTTTGAGCTAAAGTATAACTGTAAGGAGGTTCAGCCCTGAAAAGAGCCCAATAGAAACATTACTGTAAATCACACGGAAAAAGAGGAAGGAGAAAGGCAGTAAGTCAGTACAGGATCTGGCTTTCCTTATTTGAAGGCATGGTTCCAATGCTAGAGATTTTGAACTCAAATTTAACAAGGGAAACTTCATTTAATAAAATCAAAAAAGGAACAGATGATGTTAACGCCTTTTTTTTTTTTTTTTAAAGGAATTGTTAAAAGAGGCAGCTATTCCATGGAAGTGTTCTTACCAGAGGATCTTTAAGGAAGAATGTGAACTCAACTGCACTGTAAGACACCCAGAAATCCATGCAGAAAAAAATTCTGCTGCCTAAAGAAATTACTTATTTGGGGGTATTTTTCCCTTAACTTGAAGCTTACACTGTTTCCTCCAGAGAAAGCTGGGGCAGCCTGCAGCGTGCCATGGTTTTTCCATGTGGGTCAGATAGTCACCCCCACATCAACCACAGGCCATTCTGGAGGAGAGCATCACCCTTCTGGGGCACATTCTCCCCAACAAATACAGAGCAAAGGCTGCCTTTGAGCTTTCTTCCTCAGCTACCAAGAGACAGATAATTGTCTTCAAATTAGCCAGGGAAGGCAAGCACACTGGAAAATTTCAAAGTTTACATTAGCTGAAAAAGGTTTTACCTAAATTAAAGGACATAAGCCAAAAAAATTGTGCTAAATCCCTCAAAAGCCTAAATCCAGGTTAGAGTCAGATACTTAATTTCTTTCCTTCAGCTGGTAGCTAAGTATGCCTGATAGGGAGCTCTTAATGACTTTTTAGTCTTGGGTTACACAACAAAAAGGGAGAACATGCTTCAGCAGCAAATGCCCCTTCACACCCCCTGGTCAGATGGAGAGAGGTCACCAGAATTGTCTTCCCTTCCAGTGGAAGGGAAGGAACCACTTTTAGAGTAATTCTGGGCATTTTCACCTAGCAATTTCTAAATTAACAGTTGTTGCAAGAAATACCAACTTCCTTATTCTTCCCTGATCCCATCTTGTGGCAAACACTATTCCTTGCAGTGCTATTTCTAATTTAAAATATTTAATTGTTTTCAGAGGAGATGCTGTAGCTTGTAACACGAAGGGACAGAGCTCTGCAGCCCTCTTAGCTTGGTTTCCAAGACTGTCCACTTCCACCTGCAAGAGACCATGGTGGGACATAAGAAGTCCCCTCCAGAGCCCCAGGGAAACCGGGGTGCACAGTCAGTCCTTGCACGGGTGGGTCCCACCTTCCAGCACTGCTACCCACACATCATACCATCCCAACCTGCTGACCACCCCTAAGAACCTGCAGAACGAGTAAGAAGAAAGTAGCTGTGAAGGCAGCTTTCACATTTTACAATAGAAAACGCTAAACCCAAGTTATTGTTGGCATCACTTCAGCTGGACCGATGGCCAAGCTACAACATAAATCGCATTTTCAGCGCCCTGCCCTGAAGGCACCAAGCTGTTTTGAGCAGTCAGGTGTAATTAGCTGGGCCCAAGCAACAGCTGTGGTGGGGACACACACACATGAAAACAGCAAGAGCTCAAAGGCATTTGGGTTAAAATCCAGTAAAAGCACTACATCCACAGAGCCAACACAGATCTCCTTATGGGGAACATAAGATGAGCAAAGCAACATGCACCTCACCAGAAAAAAAAAGAAAATCATTCAATTGGTGGCCTAAAAACTTGCTGCTCCCTTACATGTGGGCTTGGAATAAACTACGGGCTGAAATAATTTTCTCCTTGTACTACACAGAGCACTGCCTGCTCTGCTTTTTTCCTGTGGACAACCTTGTAGCACATTCCCTGCATACATCCAAGCAAGCCCCATCCTGGGAGTCAGTGCAGGTGACTAACACCACACAGAGGAGTTTTGGCACTTAATTTTTGAGCTAAAGTATAACTGTAAGGAGGTTCAGCCCTGAAAAGAGCCCAATAGAAACATTACTGTAAATCACACGGAAAAAGAGGAAGGAGAAAGGCAGTAAGTCAGTACAGGATCTGGCTTTCCTTATTTGAAGGCATGGTTCCAATGCTAGAGATTTTGAACTCAAATTTAACAAGGGAAACTTCATTTAATAAAATCAAAAAAGGAACAGATGATGTTAACGTGCAGCCAACATGGCAGTTTAGTGCGTGTTTGTATACTGTACGTGTGCCAGGAGAAAGATGAAGGGGATACCAGACAGCCCAGCTCCTGCAGAGACAGGGTTTATGGAGCCTGCAACTCTTCCTAGTGGGGATTCTCCAGTTTCTAATAAAAGGCTTTTTCCCTTCAGCAGGGGTATAACTAGAGTTCCTTGTCTTCTCCTGGTCCACTTTCACAAAAACCTGGAGAACTTGCTAATTTTGAAAACTTCTGTCAAACAAGCTTTGACAGCTGCCCAAGGTGGTTCAGGTGCAGGGCAGAGCTGACACAGGCACCAGCCTGATGTCCTGAGAGCAGGACTAAAAACAGAATGGAACTTGTGTACACCAGGAGAAAAATGGGGAGAAAAAGTCTATATTCAGCTGATTTAAATCACAAGTCACAGCGAAAAGCACATCATATGTAAAGAAACCCTACTTTCCTCTGCGACTGATAAACCAAATAAACCGATTACACCACCAAAATGCTGTATCTCCAGACTGCCATTTCCCTGTCTCACAGACCCAAGACCTGGAACAGAGGTTCCAACTGTCACCTGAACTGTATTGCCACCTCCAACCTAACCACAAGCTCCAGCTTCAATCCATCACAACCTACCACTTAGTAATCATGTAAGGAAAAAAAACTTTCATTGCTCTTGGGTTTTTTGTGTCAAAACTAGTAATTACCAGTTCTACAACGAGCTGTAGTAGGAGACCTGCCATCAGGCTTGAGTTTTCAGCTAAGGACATAGCATATCTCATTCCTTGGTGTACTACCTAGTGTTTTAAAATAAGTTTTGCAGGTTCATAACAGCCCATTTCTGCAGAATCACAGAATTTTTCCACATTTCACACTCCCACATGCTCGCAGGATTTTCATTAATGCAATTTATAAAACATATTAGCATACAGAACAGAAATATTCTGGAGTACTGACAAACACCTGGCAGAGCCTGGTCTGTAGCAGCGGCCCCCCTTGTCCAAGCCCTCAGCCCCAAGCTTTCACCCACACTAATAACTTCAGACAAGCCTAAACCAGGAGCCTTGATCTGGCACTTTCAAGCCAGCACAGGTTTTACAAGAGTTTAATTGTTTCCCTGTGGTATTAAAATTAAGCAGTTATAGGAACACCTACTCCTATTTTTTTCAAAGTAGAAGAGGAAAGTAACTCCTTCAAACTCGGGCAATCCCCAAGACTGATACGAGAGCCCCCAACCCGTTATCTCAGACAAACTTTAATTTACATTAAGTCTCATGCAGACTTCCAGTGGCTGCTGGGACCCGGCCCCCTGCGGAAGCTGCTCTCGTTACCGCTTCCTGTGAGCGCACGACTCGTGCGAGATGAACATCGCAGCATGTAGCTGGCCATGGGTGCGAGCACCCCAGAGAAGAGAAGCCTTCAAGAGCAGCACTGGTCAGGAAAGGAGATGGCATCAACAGTCAGGAAAAAGCGTGTCAAAAAACCTAAGAAGGGACCAACTGAACACTGAAAAAAAAAACCCCACCCTCAGAGTCACGTTTTCTTGCAAACTAGATAAGAAGTCTAGCACGAGGCTTTTACCCTACTACAGAAGTGGCTTGAGACAACTTGCAGAGTTTCAGTTCACAAGCTGCGTTATCAAACTTTTATTTCATACAGGTGTAGGAGTCATTTTGTCACCCCGGCGGGCACGAGCCACACCGACACGCAGCTTTTCCACCCCCGTCACTGCAAACGGGACCTGGTGCGATGCTGAGGGGGCAGCGTGGTCCCGGGGGTCACCAGGCCCTGCACAAGCCAGCCCACAGCAATGAAGCAAACCCCACTTTTCTCTCAGGTTGGCTGAATGAGTTGTGGCTCTCCTCAGGCTGTAACGCCCCAAACCCCAGAAGGTGGGCAGCTGCGAGGGGAGGCGCTGGCCGTACCCCCGTTTCGGTGTCAGCCCAGGCCATGCCAGGCGCTGGGCAGCCCCGGGTTGGGCCACACCGCGAGCCACCCGTTAAAGAAACCCTATCAAAACCCCGATTGTGAAATTAATTGATTTTTCTCAGAACAACCCCTGGCGTGACCGAGCGGGCAGAGCGGGGCGGGGGGCAGGGGAGGCGGGCAGCTGCCGGCGGCAGGCGGGCACCGGCCCCCCGCAGCCGACCGGCCCCGCTCCCCGCCACCAACCCCGGCCTGCTCCAGGAAACGGTGGCGGGGAAAGGCTGGGCCCCTCCGCGCCGTGTGCGGCAGCCAGGCCAGGCCCCAACGGCACAAAGCGCCCGTCAGGCCCGGGCGGGAGGCGGGCAGCGTCCCGGGCCGCGGCGGGGGGAAGCGCGGCGGCACTGACCTTGGCGTCTCCGTTGCAGAGGGCC